TTCACCACTCACAAAAAACAGTACAAAAAACAAAACAGTACAATGGCAAAAGACAAAACACATTACTGTACTTATGAACTAAATGCGCATTCTCAAATTTGGAGACTGTCGGGGCTGGGGATTTAGCTCAGCGGCATAAGCACCTGCCTTGCAAGCAGGCGGTCGTGAGTTCAATCCCTGGTACCGATTAAAAAAAAAAAATTTGGAGACTGTCAGAACATAATCAACTGGGCTGGGGATTTAACTCAGTGGCACAGCTCCTCCCTGGCAAGCTTGAGATCCTGAGTTTGATTCCCAGTAAACTCCTCCCTAAATAACACAATCAACCATACGCATACAAATTGGAACCTCTGCTGGGTGTGGGGGTGCACACCTATAATACTAGTACTAGGGAGGCTCATACTAGTATTATAGGTAGGAGAATCACTGTGAGTTCAAGGCCAGCCTGGGCTATATGGTGAAACCTTGTCTCAAAACTACAAAAACAAACAAACAAACACCTGGAACCTTCACACTTTTCTTCAAAATTAGCAAGTATAATAATCTCTGCTACTTAATTAACATTTACTAAGTGACTGACCCATTGATGGACACTAGACAGCCAGTAAGAATCCTGTAAGGAGGATATGCTCCTAATTCAGTCATTCCCTGAGGATTTGATAGTGCTTGTATTAACAAGGAGTAAGTCTTCTCTTCAGAATGTTTTCCCAACTAATGTTTGCTCCAAAGCATTTAGAGAATGCTTTATAGTATGGTATATCTCCATACCATAAGAGGAAAACACAGCTAAACACAGAAGCAGTAAATGTAATGAGCTGTGCTGAGTGGAAGAAAGCTGACAGAAAGGGATTAGGTTACAGAAGAGAAAGAGACTTCATGTAATAACTATCTTCTCTGGCAGAGCCTTCTTTTAAGATAGCAGGCTAACTGCATTCATGTTGTTGAATATGAGCAGTGGGCACATAAAAATTAAACTTTAAGATAGGCATGGTAGCGCACTTCTGTAAATCCCAGCACTCAGGAGGCTAAGACAGGAGAATTGTTGCAAGTTTGAGATCAGCCTGGGCTACAAAGTGAACCCAAGGCCAGCCTGAAATGCATAGGGAGACCCTGTCTCAAAAAGACAAAAATTAAATTAAATTAAATTAAATTAAAGTTATATCTCTAAGCTTCATATTCACACTTTGCATATAGAAAAACTGCTTTACCCAAAGAAATACTACAATGAGCAGGATAATCTTTCTAGAATTTCCTCCCAAACTAACAGACATTTCAACTACAGACAGAGATGAAGCAGGGCATGGGAACACATACCTGTACTCTCAGCACTCAGACTGTGGTAGGTGAATTAAGAATTTAAGGCCAGCCTGGGTTACACAGCATGTTTAAGGCTAGCCTGAACTACATAATGAGATGTTGTCTCAAAACAACAATGACAACAAAAACAGATTACAAGTCTATGTGACAAGCTAAATAATTCCATCAGGTTCACACGTAAGGTAAGTGCAGATTCAGATTCACAAACTCTTACCTAACTCAGTCACAGACTTGAGCACCAAACGCCAACTGGCAAAAAACAGCAATGAATGCAACAGACATGAGCTATCAACTCTTCTTTTCTTCCAATGGCCCTTTTTCAGAAGCAGCATGAACCTTAGTACCACAGGCACTACCATTAGTGGTATATACCCTAGGTCTGCAAGTGACCACTGACCCAGGATGTCCATCCCAGGCAAACCTTTGGGGTTCCATGCAATCAAGGACTGTTCTTTGGATCAGGATCCTGAATCTGTCATACTCCCGAACTTTCATATTTTTTCACTTACACACTTTGAAATCTAGTCCAAGTGCAACTGTGCTCTAGTTTTAAAAATACACTCTGTCCATTAACTCTTCTAATGATAACCTTCCTAGGTTTCCTTAAAAGTTCTGTTCAAAACTGCTTTTTGGTAGGAAATCTGGTATGCTCCAAAGATAGATTTCATGTACCTTTCCGAAGTAAAATCATTTGAAACCCTCCCTCCCCATACATTAAAAAATATATATATCCTTTCAGATCATTTGACCGAAGTATAAAGCAACCTGGTTGGCCTCCATGCATCCGATGGCATCTTCCAAGAGTGAAAACTCCACGCAGACATAGCCATAGTCGTAACCTGGGGACAGCATTTAAATACAGACGGGAGTGGTGTTAGTGCCTTGAAAACACAAAAGACACACTTCAATCCCCTGTTTCTGAACCCCTTAAACACAACTCCTCCCAATGGGCCCCTCCCTCCCCTACCCTAAGCAGAGTTGCTACCCAAAAGAAAAAGGTACTGAAGGAAAGTCTGGATGTTTCTGAACTCTGAGATTCATTCCAAAACGGCTTTTTCTATTAACCAGGAAGATCTCTGCCCTCTGTAGCACTGCTGATCTGGCAAGGGTGTCCCAGAACTGGGAATCCCATAGAAGTTCATGTGGGAACCCAAAATATTTTAACCACAGGTTGAGCTCCTAGAAAAACAAAGTTAACAACAGCAAGAAGTATCCAGAAAAAATGTATACAGAGAGAAGGAGGAGAAGCAATTATCCAAAGACTAAGCTAATGGTCACCATATTTCAAGCAAAAACCACCTTCAAAGAGAAGTGCTGACAGACGGAGGTAACTATTTCATTTGGATACCACCGGAGGCTTGTGGAATAGTGGACAGACCATTTCCAGTCTCTCACCTCTGCCCCTGGCCTTTCCTGTTTCAAATAAGTGATGTCATAAACCAGCTAAAATATTTATGAATGAAGAAGTATAAAAGCATAAATATGAGTATCCAAATTCAAAACTGTGTTTTCCCACAAAGACTACAGGTGAACCTGGCTGGGGGAGGTGGGTGCAGGAAGAGCAGTTGTTAGCAACCAACATATGTCCAAGAATTTTATACACCATTACAGTTTTAATGCTAGTCTCTTTACTCCTGAGTAGCTGTCACTTGCAGCATAGGCCTAAAGCACTCATGACCCATGAGACTGGAAAGTCATGGGATTTACAGGCTAACACTAATCCATCACTGTAACTTCCTTCAAGCTGCCACTGTATGACCACAAAAGTACACTAAGGATTGGAGTGTTCCACAAGCAGTTTTCATGTTTGCTCTACTATCTCCTAGGACAGAGAAACTCATCTCTAGGCATGATACTATACAAATGGAACAGCAAGAAAAAGATGTGAAAAAAAGAAAGAAAAAGATTTGATTTTGGTTCAGAAGAGAAAAAAACTGAGGGAAAGACAAAGCCAAACGCAAGGGGCTGGGGATTTAGCTCAGCGGCACTTGTAGGCATGTGGTTGTGAGTTCCATTCCCAGTACCAAAAATAAAACAACAACAAAAAACAACCAAGCACAATTTTGTAAATTTTGTATATATAACAATAGAAAACTGATATTGAATCAAGTTTTCAAAGGCCAAATATACTGTAGCAGTAAAAAGTATAATTTCTCTGGCAGTGTAGAGCACATGCTTATTTGGAAATCCTTGAGGACCCAGTATCAAAAAAATGAAAGAAAATGAAAAATCATACCAAATGTAATGAAATGAACTGTATTCCTTGTTACATGAAATGAAGAGCCTAAAATATTTTTAGGACAGTAATAAGCTTTCATTTTAGATTACATGGAACCCCAAAGGTTTGCCTGGGACAGACATTCTGGGTCAGTGGTCACTTGCAGACCTGGGGTATATCCCACTGATGGTAGTGCCTGTGGTACTAAGGTTCATGCTGCTTCTGAAAGAGAGCCAAGTTCACGATGTAACACTACATATTTAGGACTATCCTTACACTATGTTTTAGGAATGACCAGGAAAAAGAAACAAAAGTTACTGGAAACTGCAGCACTACTTTGGGATTTTTTTTTTGTCTTTTTCCTTTTTATTGGTACCGGGGATCGAACTCATGATTGCCTGCTTTCAAGGCAGGCGCTTATGCCGCTGAGCTAAATCCCCAGCCCCTACTTTGGGATTTTTTATCTTAACTGAAACTTTAATAAACTAACTAACTAATTCCATTTGAAGCTTTAATCAAAACTAACTCCAACTTCCATGTAAATCTATCATAAAATGACTCTCTGAAGGAGTAAAAACAAAGAAACATTACATGTTTGCATATATCCCATTAATCACAGGACTTGTTATTTGATTCCTTCCACGTGACTTTCCCAACCAAATCCAGTGCACATTTGAGAAACGTAATGTTTTGCATTTTGTAGTGTTCTAAATATTTTTTGGAGACAGTGCAGACTAGCAAAAGGAGCTTGTCACCAAATACATACTGTGAATACTCAAAAGTATGTCTACCATCAGCCATGGAAAAAAGCAAATATGCTCCTTGATAGAATTTTCGGCATGGCTAAAAAGATAAGAAATAGGAAATAAAAGTGGCCTTTATTTTAAGAACGTGGAAAGAGACTCCATGACCTCAGAGGTCTGGCTTTCTCTCTATCGGACCTGTGGTATGGGGGCATACATATAGCTTAGGTTTGGGGTGGTGCCTAAGGGGCATTCCTGATGCACAGGTAGCCCATTGGAATTCATTTTGCACCACAGGTAAATTGCCTAGGGGCAGGGAAGGTGACCTCAAGATAGAGCCTGTTGGTACTGCCTCCCAGCCTCCCAGCCTCCCACAGCTGCAGCTTTCCATTCAGGGCAAAATCCTTTCACTCCTGAATATATTGATTACCTCTACAGAACGTATAAAAGAAATGCACAGGCATACAGAAAGCAACACTCTTAGCTGAGTGCGGTAGTATATGCCTGTCTCTGCATTCAGGAGGCTGAGACCAGAAGATCACAGTGAGTTCGAAGCCAGCTGGAATTACTTTGTGAAAGCCAGTCTCAAAAAAAGAAAAAGAGGGAAAGAGGAACAAAGAAAGCAACCCTATTTATGACTGCCAAAATGAAAAATGTAGCAAAATGACACTAAATTCTTGAAAACCTGTTTGCATTTGTTCATTCATTTGCTCTATCACTTTGTTACTATGGAATGCTTCAAGAATTTGTATGTCATCCTTCACAGAGGCCATACCAATCTTCTCTTTATCATTCTAATTTTACTGTATGTGCTGTCAAAATGAGCACTTCTTTTCATTCTATGCTTTAAAAAAGTGACCACTTAAAAAAGATGTGTGGCCCAGAGGAACACACAGAATCTGCGAATGGAAGGCGGATTCATGACAATGTATACATTTTGCCAAAGTATAACAGACTTTAGGGTCAGAGATAAAGCTCAGTGGCACAAGTACCTGCCTGGCAAGTGCAAAGTCCTGAGTTCAATTCCTAGTACCAAAAACAACAACAACAAAACCAAAATCACTACACAAGAAAATAAGGTCTATAGAAGTCACTGTGAGCATCTAATATCATTTGTGATAGCATCACTGTGATAATATTAAACTCACAATTAATGTCTTCCACCTGAAACTTTAACTGCAAAAGAAAATTTTAAGGTTAAATTATAGTAACTAGACTTAAAAATATACACTCTTTATCCCAGGCATTCTGTATGGTACATACTCTAATTATACCACAAAAAAAAATTTGGAAGTTGACAAAATAAACAATGCTATAGTACTAAAAAATATTTATATAAACCTGAACAATGGTGGCATACATCTACAATCCCAGTACTAGAGAGGCTGAGACAGGAGGACAGCCACTACTATACTTTTTAACTTTTTTTTTTTTTTTTTTTTTTTTTTTGGTACTGGGGATCATACTCTCATGTTTGCCAGGTAGGTGTTTATGCTGCTAAGCTAAATCCCCAGCCCCTAGTTAACTTTTTAAAATTTATTTATTTTTGGTACTGGAAATTGAACTCAGGACCTTGTGCTTGCCACTAAGCTATATCCCTGGCCCTGACTGCCACTAGTTCAAGGCCAGCCTGGGCTACATAGTGAGCTTAAAGCCAGCCTGACCTACAAAATGAGACCCTGTTTCAAAAAAAACAAAAAACAAAAACAAAAAAAACCACAAATTTACCAGAACTTATTGGGACAAATTTCTATTTCAAAACACTTTACATATCATTTTACCCATAGGGAAACAAAGGAAGGTTAAATAGATCGGGCATGTTGGCGCATGCCTGTCAGCCCAGCATTTGGAAGGCTCAGGCAGGAGGATTGCCAAGAGTTTAAGGTCAGGCTACATAGTGAGTTTAAGGTCAGGCTAGGCTACCTAGTGAGTTTAAAGTGAGCCTGGACTACAGAGCAAGACCCTATCTCAAAACAAAAAAGTCTAAATTTAAAAAAAAAAAAAGAAAGAAAGAAAAGAAAAGAAAAGAAAAGAAAAGAAAGGACAGTTTGCTCAGTCACTTTAATAGGAAATAACAATACTGAGTTTTAAACCCAGGCAGTACACATTCAAATGGATGCTATCTAGCACTACCCTGTATAGCCTCTCACTCTTTAGCAAGACACTAGACTGATTTAAATAATCTGAATTCCAAACTCTACATAGCCTCGTTACAGAGAATCCCACATGACTGAGTGCAGCTAATTCCTGTCTGTGGTTAAGAAACACTGAAATTAACAGCATAACATATACTGCGGTTTTAAAATATCTATGACAGAACCATTGTGAGTGGGCCTAAAAAAGGAAGCTAGAAGTATTCACTCATGAAATGACTTGCCAAGTTGGCTCCCAAATTCTTCTGAAAAAACAAAATCTCAAAAGGCTTGTTGTAAAGGATGGAGATAAAAATCATACAGAAGTAAGGAAAGATAATTGATATAGCATATTTTCAAATTTCACAGATATACACTTTGTAGATAATTATATAAAATGTGTATAGAAAGTAGACTACAATTAAATAAATACAATGAAATTGCATCTAACTCAAGAGGACATAAAACAAAAATCAGCATGTGAGATAAAAACCATGCACTGTCAAAATTGTATTTGGAGATCTGAAGGTAAAGAACAACATACCATCTTTCAATATAGGTAAATCCAACATTGCCAGTTTTCCTCCAGCGTCGCAACAGACGGTTTTTTTTTTCCTTTGGTTGACACTAGATGAAGAGGTTGGCTTGCATTTAAGGGGCATAATGTACGAGAAATATATTGCTTTAAATAACAGAATCACGGCCAGCACAGTAAATGCTCACACACAAGAGAAACTTGGAAACAGAAATCAACTGAAGCCACAGCCAAGTCTCATTCCCAACTCCATAATCATTCCAAGAAATAGAAACAAGGGTGTGAGATGGAAGGAAGGGAAGGGTGTTTACGCAAGGATAGGTGATATGCAGAAATCTGAAAATAAATATAATGCGATACAACTGTACACCAAAATGATTACAGTGGTTGTATAGCTATAGAATAATCAGGGACTTATATCACTTCCCTAGAGTAATAATATAACTCACAGAAAAGGTTCTAGCGGACATAGAAGATACTCTACTTACAAAATAAAACATTCTAAAAATGACCAACAAACCTTGCAGTCATAATTGCTGGGAACCATTTGGAATCATCAAGATGGTAAAGTCAGTGTTAACAGCCTCACAGATTTTGTTTTGTTTTGTTTTGTTTTTTTGGTCTTTTTATGGTTTTTTATCGGTACCAGGGATCGAACTCACGACTGCCTGCTTACAAGGCAGGCCCTTATGCCGCTGAGCTAAACCCCCAGCCCCTACCTCACAGATTTTTTAACAGAGTATGAAAAGATCTATTACCTTTTTCTTCAACATCACTTGCTAGGAAAAAGTCTGCTGGTCTTGAAAGGTCTTTGTGCTTATTTATATGACTCCTGAAACATACACCTGACTCCATTCTAACTGTGTACACAAATCTCATAGAAATAAGAATTTCCTTATACATTTTTAGGCAGCTGAGAAGGATGAGACAAAGCAACAAGGGAAAGAAAACTAAGAAGTTAACATTATTATTTTTTTATTGGTTTTTTTCAAGACAGAGTCTTGCTATGTATTCTACCCTGGCCTTGAACTCACTACATAGCCCTAAGCTGACTTCAAACCCTCTGTGATCCTCCTGTTGCAGTCTCCCAAGGGCTGAACTTTTCTTACAGATGTGCACCTCCATACCCTGCTAAAAAAAATTAACATTAAAATTTCAAGTCCTCAACTTCATTAAGTATTTGGTGGACTGGTCCCCAAAAAAGAATCTACAATAAAAGTGAATCAGATAGGTACAAGGAGAAAGATATAGAAAACACAGACCTAATGAGCAATATCTAATCCCAGTACTAACTCTTCAGTTTCTGGGCCCTAGAAAAGCTAGTTGCATGATGCTGACAAACATATCCCCAGATTATTCAAGTCAATTGTTAATCTTTTTAAGGCTCAGCTTTCATAACATTATGAAAAGCACTTGTTGGGTCAGGGATATAGCTTAGCAGCACAGCACCTGCCTGGCAAGTACAAGGTTGTGAGTTCAATTCCTGGTACAAAAAAAAGCATTTGTTGAGGCAAATGAGATAGAAGTCCTATCTTCAGACTGATATAGAATAAGCCAATTAACATAAGAAAATCCTATAAAATTTCCTATAAAAAAACTATTGGTGAAAGGCTTTATTCTGGGCTTCTTGATATGGAAGTATCTGAAGCTATAGTATATGAAGTTTTATTCAAATATTTCAAGGAAAAAGACAGACACTATGATAACTACTATTAAGTCGGGTTATTTGGTAGTGAAGCACTAGGTTGCTGAAACAGTCATGCTTTGACCTGTATTGTTATATTGTTATGTCCTCTTTTATCTCAATCTCTCCCTTATTCATTAAAAAAATTATTTAGTTATTTTTTATGGTTTTTTTAATTAAGGGGAAAATTTTTTTAAAATAGCAGGATATATAACAGTAACTTTTTTTGATTTCCTATTAACTTGTTTTGAAGTCCTGTAATACTCCCACTATCTTGTTTTGACTGATTAGACTCTGTTCCATTCTGTATGATAGTATCAAGTTTGAGGGTATAGGCAACTACTTTGAAGGCAATAAGATTCACTAAGATGCCCATTCTGGTTTGATTATTGTCTCCTTTGGAAGTCCTGTAATGTTTACAATGCTTAAGTTTTATTGGTCTTGTTCTCTATTGTTTTGTTCAACTTTATAATACCTAATGAGATAGACAATTCTTTTTAAGGAAACAAGAGACATTATGGTAACCATTACTGATAACCTTGTACTGTTTTTACATCATGTGCTATGTCTATCCTTGGTTTTGACTGACAACTTTGTTTTGCCATATTTGACTTTATTCTCCCCCCCCCCAAAAGTAATAAGAACTAAGGAGTAATAAAGCCCAAAATGTGTAAATTTTGTTGTAAAAAAGAGAAGGAAAAAAAGTGCTCTAGAAGATACAACAGCAAGTGTGTTTAGGGGTGTTAAATAGCTGACCATATTAATGTTTTTGGTTGGATCGTTGAACACAACTGTTTGCAGTCTCACTGTTTGAATATCCACTTTGTATGCTTTGATACTGTGACTTGAGCAACTATCTCTAAGATGATAATATGTAATCTATTAACTGGTGATTTCTTACTGTTTTTTTTTTTTTTTTTTTTTTTTTTTTTTTTGTAGTTCTGTATTACTTGTACCCTTACACCGCTTTTTTTGGTTTGTTTTTTTCTCTTTTTCCTTTTAAATAAAATTTTTTTAAAAATCCAAAAAAACGGGGCTGGGGATTTAGCTCAGCGGCATAAGCGCCTGCCTTGCAAGCCGGCAGTCGTGAGTTCGATCCCTGGTGCCGATAAAAAGGAAAAAGACAAAAAAAAAAAAAAAAAAAAAATCCAAAAAAACAAACAAACAAACAAAAAACTATTGGTGCTGGATGTGGTGCACATGCCTTTAATCCCGATACATGGGAGGAGGCTGAAGCAGGAGGATCCCTTTAAATTCAAGGTCAACCTGAACTACAAAATGAGTTCAAGGTCAGCCTGAACTGTACAATGAAATCTTGTCAAGAGAGAGAGAGAGAGGGAGAGAGAGAGGGGGAGAGGGAGAGGGAGAGGGAGAGGGAGAGGGAGAGAGGGAGAGGGAGAGAGAGAGAGAGAGAGAGAGAGAGAGAAGTTCTATACCAGTTTCACTACACGGTCTCAGTTGGCTTTATTCTGTCTTG